TGTTTCCAGTTTCAACAGCGAAGCCAACCCCCTGCTTCGTAGTAAGAGAAGACCAAAAAAATGCGAGCAGACACCATGTTATCATTTGTGTTGAACTAGTGCAACATTCTCAAGTTCTAAACGAATGAGTACTTTGAACGAAGTTGGGGGAGGGCGAAAAGGTGGGGGGGGGGTTAACATTATCAGATAGGCAAAGTGCACTGAATGAGATAAATAAAGTCAGGTTACAGGGTTTGACATCAAGAGATATATACACAGATGCTCACACCCACCATAAGAAAGAAAATCACCCAAAATCTATAAAGCGACCCCACGAAAGACATTAAATTTTTATCACCTTGGCCGGTAACGTTGATGGTTACATAACCATTCTAGTGCGACTCACCATAACATGGTTATTCACTCTGGTATACGGGGGCGGGGGCGCTTCATAATAGACAAACACAAATCTCAAACTCTGCTTCATCCTAAAGTACGCCAGAGACAGAAAAATAAAATGAAGAAGGAGGATTGTAGAGACGCAATCATTATCGTAAGGAGAAAAATGTCCCAGCAATGGCAAAGGACGCAAACACATCAGACACATTGCAGTGTTCCGGTTAACGAACCACCACACTTCTTTATCTCCATTCTTTGCCTTCCCAGACATCTCGCTAGGAACATTTGGAACGAAATAAAATTCGTAAATCCAACCAAAACTCCTGGAAAAAGGTCCATGAGCAAGAAAAAAAACTAGCCGGCTTGGAACAATTTTAGGAGAATAAAATCCTATAAAAACAAAAGATTTCTAAAAACAAGAATCAATTAAGTGGCAGACAAGCCCACACAAGTGGGGTCTCACACCTCTCTTATTGGTTGGTCCCTTCATCGTGAAAATAGTAGGAGTTTCTGTCACCACAGGCGTCCCATAGGTGAAAAAGTCCTGACCACCGGAATCGGGAGATAAAAGGACGCGATTTCTGACAGAGCGTTCCGTTAGAGACAGGATGTGCAAGCTATGATATGACCACTCACCAGTGGCAAACGGAACTGAACTAAACTATGTTTCAAAGGGAAGAGACAAGAGGTGTGAAAAATACGTTTTAGTTCATATTTTCGATTATCTTCTCGTTATTTCTAAATGGAATAGATCATTTCCAGCTGTCGACTGCTGTCCAGAAGAAAAGTGATAAAAGGCGATCGGTTCAGCAAAGGACCACTAACTAAACGTAATGGAAAAAGTGGAGTGAAATATAAAATACAACTTGATTCTCGGGAGAAGAAAAAGGCTTTGTTGGGCAAGGATTCGACCGACAATAGGATTCAGAGGGAACTTTGTTGTGAACTTAACTCTTTTGCGTCCGATCCCAAGGTATTGCTTGCTTCATAAACTAGCAGTAGTACATAAAATTAGGTACCCGTAGAAGGAAGCTACAACCAGCGAATAACTGGCACGAAACTAATCGGACCGACGACTGCTTCTGAAGTTTGTTGACTGTCTGAACTATTATTACAGCACAAACAAAACCTGGGGGTGGGGGTGGGGACACTATAAGAAAAACCTGATGCAAAAAACATCCCTTTACTCTTCCACTAATTTGCCCCAAAATTATCAAGGATCAACCAAAAGAATTCGCCCTGCAAAGTTGACCTGGCTGCAAAGAGGTGAAGTAGAGGGTTTTTGTTTTGTTCCTTCTTCCTGTTGCAAAAAGAAAACATTTTCGACAAGAGCCCTGCGGAATGACGGAGCCAACTCTGGAGATTTTCTCGCGCTCATTAGGAGTCCGACAAGCTATCGCAAACGTCAGCGCCCACTTCCAGAATGCCTTGATCTACAACAGCTCGTTTTTCTTTACGGAGAGCAGCATGGCGTTAAACCTCCGACTGGTTTACTTCGGCCGCTGAGGATCAATCTATCGGGGAGCTTGCTCTTTTATCAACAGCTCTGTTGCCGAGAATGCCGTGTAGGCGTTTGTTTGTGTCTTCTCTTCTCCTTTCTGTTTAAATGAACATGTAGGTGATTCACACATCAATAGACTCACTTTAGATCATTTAGTCAGAAGGCTTCGAACCTAACTACCATTCACGGCCAACCCGTGCCGGAAGAATGACAACGTTAGAGCAGAATGTGGAGATACTCAATGAAAAATCTCCCCACACGAGAATCGAATTCAGGTCGTCTGCGAGAGAAGGTGAAACGCCTAACCGCTACACCACAGACTCCAGTGTTCATTGCTCAAAAGGAAGATCCTTCTCGGGTAAATGAAAACTGGAGTCTGGTCTGTGGTGTAGCAGCAGCAGTAGCAACATCAACATCGACCCCAACAGCAACGATTTTCGTTGGGGG